CCCCCCCCCCCATTAACTTAATTAAAATATTTGAAGAGCAATGAAAATTGGATAACCTACAATTCCGAAAGAACGGTAAGTTCATGAAAAATTTGCTGCACGGCAAATTCAATCAAATGCCCCAACGGAATCACCGGTGGGCCGCATTTTTCTGGTACAGTTGGTAACATCGGTTTCATATATTCTTCATCGTCCATTTCGTCTTTTTTCCCTTGATCTTGCTGAAACACAACTTTTGCTTTAGTTATGTGTGAATCACTTATATTTCAAATTCTAATTACTCTCTTTTTGACAACACGAAGACATTATCTACAATATTCTTCCAGCATTCTTTAACTAATAAAGAATAAAGAATGTAAAACAACATCACATCAATCACCACTTCAGGCCTGAAAAAAGTATTAGTGATTCAGGGTGTTAAAGTCATTATTCTGAATTTTGATAAGCTATTCTATAAAGTTTGTTGAATCGAAAATGTTTTTTTTTATTTAGATAAAAAGAGGAAACAATGGAATTATGCACACTGATATATGAAATGTATGATTTGTTCAAAGGAGATATCGAAATATTTTTATCAAGCATTAATTCAAAATATTTAGTCCTTACTTTTGTTTTCCCAGCTACTGGAGTAATATTTCAAATAGAAGCGGAAGTTCTTCAATTTTCGATAGTCCCAGTGAAATCAGAATGAACAAGTAAATAAATCGCTATTAATCAAAACATAAGCACGTCCAGTACTGCAGAAGGGGAAACAATATAAAGATTTATTGGCACGTGATCCGAATTGGTCACAGCTTTCTGAGACGATCATGCATTATATAACTGAAAATTCAATTACAACATAAAATCTAAATTCCCAATGCGAAGAATCACTTCTAAATGAACATTATCATCACGTGGTGATAATGTTCATCACGTGATAGGTAAAAAACAACTTAAAACAACTTAAAAAACGACTTAAAACAACTTAAAAAACGACTTAAAGTATTTTTTTGGGATTCTGTACTTTTAATGTTCACTAAGTTAAACTGTAAAATCATTTTTTTTTTGGAATTTCCTACTTATTTGATTGGATTAATTTTGTCAAGCTAATTTTTGCATACAATTTTGCACTTGACCCACCTCAACTGGTAGGCACTTAGAAAAGAAAAATAAGGAATAACGTGAGAAATTAAATTAGTCAAAATTAAATGTTGATGTTACGCTGTGCACGATTTCTCCATATTAATTCAATTTCACGTAATGAAAGCGTCAATTCTATGCCGATGGAGAATTCAGCTAAATGATGGGTGTGATTTGCTCGTGCCAGCCCATACCCTCCATCTCACCCTTCCAATTTGAAGAAATGCAAAATTGAAAGTACGGGTGAGCGCCGAACAGACCACACACCACCATCGGCAATTAGCCAATGCTATAGGGCTGCAGCAGGACTATTCAGGTTTAAGCCAGAATAGCCAAAAATCAGCAAGAAATTTTATTTTTGCATGTTTTACTCGCTTTCGTATTGTTTTCTTTTTGTTTGTTCGTCTATTCCACAGTGCATTAACACGTTTCATCAGAAAGAGAGAGCGAAACAGTTAATTTTGATAAAAGATTGTGACAGCCTAACACAATTTTATCTACAAAACATTCGGTCTCTCTTCTCTCTCCTATCAATAGATTTTTTCTTCCTTTCCGTCTCTGTCACAAACAGCTTTTATCTGTTTTGTCATAATATATCATTTGGAGCGACTTGTGCCCCAGCCTGATGAAATATAGCAGCATTATAGTTGGCAAATAGAGAAAGTTAGAAAAGGCTAGAATGGAAGGACGCGAAAGGCAATAAAGCACTGTATATAAGGAGAGCTAAAGAGTCGCTCGATTCAGTTTGTGTTGGGTGAGCTGCTTCGTTGTGGGATGGGTCTGTGTGCGGGGTGTACGTGACGTAGTTGTGGTGTGACACGGGGTTTTACCGGTGGTTTGTGGTACTATTGATTTTTCTCTTTTAATCTCTTATCATTTCTATTTCTCTTTATTTTCTTGAAGTGTAAGTAAATGATAGGCAAATTGCATTCACATTGTTGTCAAGTTCGGAGCTTGTTATGATTTCTTACTCTCGAATTATTCCCTATGATTTCATGGTGAGGAAAGAGGAGAGAGAGAGGAAGGGGAAAAGTTGCTTGGCATAGAATAAAATTAATTCGAAGAAAAATATAGCATTGCTTTTTTTGGTGTGGTGGTTGCGGAAAAAGAAGAGAAGGAAAAGGGATACGCTGCTGATAAGAGTGGTTCGGCTGACAGCTAATTAGGAGGAGGAGGAAGAGAAAGGGAGACGACGAAGAGGCGAAGGATTCGAACGGTGGTTTTGTGGGGATGAGAAGTGTAGAAGAATGACAATTGTCGTTTTTCTCATCGATTCCAGTGCCTCAATGGCCCAAAAGACTTATCAGGGTACCGCGATGCTGGATGTAGCGCGGTCAGTCGTTGAATTGATCCTCAAGGTAATTCTTCCCTCCCCGTTGTTTTCATCCTTTCTCACAACTGTGGCATATACTCTGACATAGATTTCTGGATTTTCGGTCCATGTTGCACAATAATAGGTTGGCTTCGGAAGGAGTTCATTTTTTAATGCAGAATTGTTTTGGTTCAAATTCTACTCTCCCACATTCTATTGGTAATTGGAATATTTGTGACATTCTTTTGTCTGTCCTTTACTCTTTTATTTAAAGTGAAGAGAATAGAACTATTACAGCAACGGGTACGTGATGCAAGTGCGCGTGGTGATCGATATATGCTGATGTCGTTCGAAGAATTTCCTATAAATGTAAAGGTTCGTGAAAGCTGAGCTAACAGTAATGGCAAATGTCAACCCATAATTGGCAACAGTCTTTCCGGATTGGAGATTAGAATGCAGCATGGGAGAAAAAAGTTTCAAAAAAATGTAAAAGAGAGGGAAAAAGAGGAAGGAGAGGCGCCAAAAGACATCATCAAGAATGGCGCACAAATCTTGCACTTTAAAAGGAAAAAGTTAAAAAAAGCAGTTGCACAAAAGTTGAAATTCCGTATGTATTTCGAGGACTGATCGTAAAAATAAATAAAATAGACCTGAACTGCTGCTGCTGTCATTGGAGATTCCGCCGGTGCAGTGTTTGCCAGTTTTGAGCTCACCTAAGAGTTCGTTAGAAAACTGTCTGCCTTCAGAGTGAAAAGCTTTTCACTGGTGAACGCGAGCACTGGACTTCGCTTAAGGCAGAATGTTCCAAAATATCGTGAAGCTGAATCCACGGCTACCAATTAGCTACAGCTAGCCAATTTTTTTATGGAAGTAGTGTCTGATCAATACAGTCTAAGTTTCAAACAAGATTTAACCGAATTCGAAATTGAAGGAAATTGTTTAAAAATAGCAAATTTTCGGAGCGTAACAAAGTTTGAAACCTAACATCGTGGGATGTGTATACCCATCCTTGCTGATGTCTTTGGGTTTGGTGATTCGGTTAAGGAAGAACGTAAAGTGCAAGGCAGTCATTTGGGCGCTTCTCCCTTTCCCATGATTATGAAGTGAATGGTTATCACTTGTGATAGAAGGGATAAACAAAATTGGAGGAGGAAAAAAAACAGAAAGGAAGGAAAGAGCTAAGTAGTAAGTACTTATGGGATTTCATAGTTTGAAAAAAGAGAAATCACTAAGAATGAAATAAATAGAGGGTTCAGGATGAGAACCAATTGTTGGTGGTGATCTTTGACTCTTCCAACCTTCATGCCAGCACTAATAGAATATTGAAAAACGGTATGCAATTATTTCGCACACAAGCACATATTATGTGGTGAAATATGTTTACTCAGCGAGTAAGAATGGTCGCAAACGATGCAGTGCTGGAATTTAACAAGCTTGTTTCATTTGCTGGACAAATGACTGTCAGTTTTCAAATAATCTGTAGAAATTATGCATGACATACCGAAACCACTGTACACTGGGACACGTTTGATTCATTGGTTGGATAGAGAAGAAAGGAGGTTGGAATTCAACTTGCGATCATAAAAGATTAGGAGGAAGTGGCGCGTTGATGTTAATATTTTTATGACTTCCGCTGAGATTATTATTTCTATATATATCTTTATTGGAAGGGAAAGTTAAGAATTTCCAATTTCAAACAGGATGTACGAACCATCATGATTTTGTTAAAGGTGGTTCCAGTTGAATCGAAAATGTACTAACCATATCTAAAAGAATCGGTGCTATTTTAGTAATAGCAGGTGTTCCCTGTAGTCGTGTCAGATCACATCGGGAACTGTAACTGCAATAAATATATTCTAACATAAACTGATTTGCAAAAATACAAAGGATAAGGGAGAGTGAATAATCAGTGCTTCAAAAACAAATGATACATGTATTGTGAAAAAATATTTCAAAATTCTTAGATATTGATCGGAATTTTTCATTTTTGAATTTTGTATTTTCATTAACTTTTATTTAGTCGTTATTTATCAAAAGTAACTTGATATGTCACGTGATGAGCTTTCACGTGGTATTATACTAAATATGCTTGTTGTGCACTTGTATATAATTAAAAAAGCACTCTATTAAGTGACCACGAAGTTGTGGAACAACTAGCAGAATTTGCTGTGCGAACATACGAAAGGGCAGGTCATTAATTGAAAAGAAAAGTTTACAGTAAACAAACAGTGCTGCTTTGAGTAAAAACGGTGCGATTATTTTAGCTTATTGCTTATGTCATTCATGAATTTTTGTTTAGGCGGGATGGCGAGAAAGCCAAAGTGTCTTCCAGGAGCAATTGAAAATGCTGAAACCGCATGGTCTAACGTCTTTTGGTACTGCTTTAGGCTCAGCATTAAGGTATTTATCACAATTAAACAACGTCTTCATTTGGTTTTACATGAGTCGAGTGGTAGAGGGGAGAGGACGGGTTGCTGTTTTGGAATTGAATGGATTAGTTAGATTAGTTAATGGAAGTGAATGGATTAGTTAGACTGTAAAAAGATGATTATTTTTACCGAGGTTAGTGTTAATCCGATATTAAGTTTCAAAGGAGTAAATTGCGCTTCAAACTTCAAAGCAATCATGACTAGTAAGTATATTGCTTTAATTTTTAACTTTTGTTCAAGATTTGTGAATGTGAATCGATTACAAACTGGCATTGACAATTTTGGTGCTGGTCGTTATCCATTCTATATCGAACCTGTTGTTATAATTAGCATAACTGATGGTAACTGTTTGACATGTCCTCAGTTTGGAACTGTTAATGAGGTAAAGTTTTGTTCACTGAATAATTTTTCTGTTTTTCAAGTTTATATTGCGAGACAAGGTAATCAGACGACTAAGGTATTAATTTTTTTATTTTTACCAAATATAACAGTTGCGTTGATTGTTCAGTAAGAAATGTTGCAGTTTTGACATAATCTTCAGTCCGCAGGTGATAGGGAAGTTTCTTCTCACTTTCTGTAGCAATTAATTTTATGAATATGACTGATTAAAAAACCGGGAAAACTTTAGCATGAGGTGAAGTGTGCATAATAATATGTTGGTTTAACTTTTTGCCCATTTAACCCTTTCTAGATTAAAGTCGCGAAGCCTACGACGATTGGTAATGAGCTGATTGAAGAACCATTTAGATGGGATCAACGCCTTTATTCAATAGTTCTACGTCTCAGTGGTAGTACCCCCGTGGGAAAAGTTTCTCCTGGAATGAATATACCTTCAGATAATAGCCCTATTGATGCGATGTGTGTTGCAACTGGTGGTAAGTGTAATTATGTAATAATTGAGTAGGTAATTTTTGTGCTACCTGTGAAAGAAATACTTTTATTGTTTATTTCACTTATAAGGTTAGTTTCCAATTTTCACTTGAAAATTACGTCTCTATTTTATTTTCTTTTTCACTTGAATTATTTTTGATACTTAAATTTATGGTGGGATTTTAAAACAATATTGTTGAATAATTTCAGGACGATCATACTGCGTATCGTCGCATAAAATGCTATCTATATGTGTTGAATCGGTCGTTCAAAAATTACAACAGCAGGGAATCGTTTTGCGTTTCGAAAAATACGGGCCAGATCCTATATTGAATCCTGGTATTTTTGAAAATTTTCGGAAGTTTATTTATATTTGAATCTCATTTCTGAGTCTAAAGAAAAATGTTTACTTTATAAATTCGTTCGGACCTTATTCCAAAAGTTAATGATCTATTTTTACAGATCGAACAAACGGCATTGTTGAGAATGGAGGTTCGAAAAAAAATGGTGAATTAGCGTCTGTTGGTGTTAAATCATTTAATTCAGATAACTGGCATAATGTAACCTGTACAGTTTATTCGCGTGCGTCTCGATCATACCCCGGTCACTGGCCTATTCCGGAGGCGTTTTGGCCCGATCGCACCATGTAATTTTTTTCTTTTTAATTTGTAATGTAAAACACTGCACAATGTCTTATTGTATAGTCATACAAAATTTCAAGATACACTGTATTCTTGCTTTAAGAGATTTTAAAATATATTGTATTCGTTTTTTAACCTCTAGTTGAATTTAATTTTTATTTTTTATGCTGATGCTTTCGATTCAGGGTAAGTTTACCGCCACGAAAGGCTCATCCGGTGATCTCATTTCGTTGTGAATCTTGTGAACCTCTTGTTTGTCAGGATTTTCCATTTGATAAGTATGAGCTTGAACCTTCGCCTTTAACGAGGTTTATATTAGAACGTAAACAGCCTGGAGTCTGTTGGCAGGTACAATTTCTATCTTTTCCACTTTTTTCTTGTATTGATTTTTATCATAAAAGCGTAATTTTTCCTGCACCTGAAATTTTCGACTTTGTCGATTTTTTTGACGCTCCATATTGTTTATACGGAACACGCTTTCATAAGCCCCAATGAACTCAGGAAGTAGGTAAAGCAGTTCAGGATGAGGTATTCAATGGAGATCTTAACACTAAGTTTGGGTTAATTCATTTAATGATTGGTAAAGTGATTCACTTTTAACGCCGTAATCACTGAATTTATTAAAATCTTTGTTAGGAGTAATGAATTTCAGGTTTTCGTTCATAATTCAAGTGTACTCGGGAGTTCACCGGTTCCTTTCGGATACCTCAAAGCAGCCACCAATTTATCATGTGTAAATTTATTTATAATGCCTTACAATTATCCACTTTTACTTCCGCTAATTGAGGAAATGAAGTTGGATTCAAAAGCCAAAAATAGCCATTCCTGGAGGTTGCGTTTGGAAAAGTACTTGGCCACAGTACCAAGTTACTATGTACAGGTAGATCTTAATCAGAATTGTGCGTTCTTTTTTGATGTTGTTTTATAATCAGTATCTGTTCTTCTGTGGTCAAAAAG